AACATTCAAGTCAAAAACACAATGGAGGAAGTAGGCATGTCATTGTGAAGGTCTACAATCCATAGATGCCATCATGAATGGGATTGCAAAGAATTTCCAACACTGTATAAACCACTTGTTAAAATTAAGAACAAGAAATCCAGATTAGACTTTGCCAATAACCTGATCAATTCTGAAAAAAAAAATCCTTTGCACACATGAAAATTTAACTTGTTCCAGAGCTCTGGATTTGAAGCACATCACATAATCTGTCAAACATGGTGAAGGTAATGCTCCAGTAAAGGTGTAGCAGAGCATCTTTTAGGCCCCAAAACATAATTTGGTGTTGTCCGTTAGTTCAAGACACAATGCACAGTGCATTAAGTATTACAGCTGCTAGCACCATGACTGATGACATCAGTCACTCTAACTGTTCATGCAGGCTTCAGTAACATGAGGCATTGGACTGGCAAAACCAGTCTAACCACTGCATTCCTGCTATAATGAATCAAACTGTTTTTGCAAAGGGGTTCTTGTGATGATTAGAACCATTTACTGTAAATGATAAAATTACTGAAACAAGGAAACTACAATGATAGTTTGTTCACTTTGCTGAAACTAGTTATGTCATTTCCTATAATGAGCAATTCAGCCTGTACTTTATGGCACTCCAGTATTCTTGGGTGGGAGAGATAATTAACTGGACAATGGGCTTTTTAAATTTCCCTCTTCTGCTGCTTCTCATCTCCTCTGTGTTCCTGCCTGTGACTCAGAAATCAATCTCAGAACGGCTGAGGGATGTATCTGTTTCAAAATGCGCCTGTGAGGACAGAGAAGGCTAACTATAATTGAGCATGCACAGGTGTCATCTTGATAGTGTCATCTGTCATCACTTTATAATGAAATGTTCTTAAATGACTGTACCCAAAACTACTCTTGCTTCCTCTGACGTGAGGAGAGGAATGAAGGATGATCAAGGAGTCAAGGGGGATTGTCACAATATGAGACTGAAAGCACCGCAGTTGTTTGTGTGATCACTGCTGATAAACACTGGCACACTGAACTTGTAACTCTGCCAGGCTGCAGTCCTAACTTTCAGGATTAAAATAATACAAAGTATCTGAATTCTAAAAACTTTCTCAGAATTATGCCAGATTAAGTCAAACGTGTTTGCTTCCTGGGAATTCAGCTTATAAAAGTGTATTAAATATTCACTTACCATGTCTGCCATGTTCGTGCTGTGCCTGTTGTCAGTTTGTCACAGATCTGCAGCATTTCAAGGTGTCGTAATGGAAATCTCGATCGTCTGGAAAAACATTGTGACGATACAGTGATGCCACCCTGCACCAAAGGAAACACATGTAACCAAGGTAACCTCTGACCCCACAGTTTAAGACAAGGATCTCCTACACAGCTATGAAATGATAAACTCACATTCATTTCTCTGAACAGATTTTTTTCCCTTTGCTCTTTACTTGTCTCATTAGACATGTGACTTCAAAAATGCTTATCAACTACGGCCGGGTATGTGGCAGGTAATGTGGCATACTGCAAGCGCCTTTGTCGGGAAACCATGATGGAAGATAGTCTATAATAAGGAAATAAAGAATTTAATTAGACATGCCGGGGCGAAGGCGTGTCCCATTTAGTGGAGGAGTCAGTAAATGGATGAAGACAGTCAGAGCTGTGAGTGTCTGCTCGACCTTGTGAAATCTGCTTTATGTCCATTAAACACAATCTTGCTATTTTGTTTTCAGTTCAAAGACATTTTCTGTGATAGATTCTTTTTTTTGTTTTCTCTTTATTGATGGTTAGTAAGTTTACAGTAAGTTTGGGCTGGAATTCACTTCTCATGGCATAAGGCTCATAGACTCAGGGCATTACAATATAAAGCGCTTTATATTGTAAGGTACACCCTACAATAATACAATTTAGTTACTAATTAACCTATCACTAATAACTATATGTCTTGGAACACTGGGAGGAACTCATACAAAATCTCCAAACAGAAAGATGCTAGGCTGATGGTCGAATTGAACTCAGGATCTTCTTGCTGTGAGGCAACAGTGCTAACCGCTGTGCTACCGTGTGCGTTTTCCTCACTACTTAAATTGTGTACACACTACTGAGCAGAATAGGATAGAATGAACTGAGGAGAAACAGGAGCTTAGATCACAATCTGTCTCCAGCTTGTGGCAAAACTGTGATCACAGAAGAAGACATGACAACAGAGCAGAAGAAAAATACAATTTATTCTCTATCAGACCGTCAAAACCATTAAATACCGTAAGTCATCAGAATAAGACCCTCAAGAGCTTTAAATTACAAGAGTTACACACAGTAGAAAAAATCCTTAAACACAGCAACAGACTCACTGAAGATGTCTTACAGAAACAAGAGTGTGGTTTATAGGCATCAAGAGATGAGACCAAAAAGGGGAAAAAAGTATTTTTTCCAACAGGGATTTTGTTACCTCATCATGAAACTTTAGGGTTGTATACAGAATCAGTTACAATTTATTTATACAGAAATCACATTCAGATTTTATTCATTCACTTCTGATTAAATAAGAAAAAAGTAACATTAATAGCCTCTACAGAAGAGGCACTTATGGAGAGGTCTGCTAAAGTCTACAAATATACACATCACTGAGAATATGACGACTCTATACAGCTCACACCAGAAGCCCTTTGACCTCTTTGAAACTAAACTGGTATTGTAACATCCACTGTGGCTGACACGGGCCAGAGGGGGAGTGTTGTAGAGGTGGTTGACATTGCAATTCCCCTCCAAAGGCTGTGAGTTTCTGCACTGCATACCTGCAGGTGGCTAGTCAGCTGTAGGCTATCAGGTAAACTTTACGGTCCGAATAGGAGTTCGATGCAAATTTAAAACTACACCCCTTGTTTCAGTGGTGTAGTAACCGACTGCTCATTTAATGTCAACACACTTGATGGCTTTACTGTAATCTTTTCATTGCTTACTTCATAAACACCATTTAGAGAGTATTCAAAGTATATTAATTCAATAAACCGTTCTTATGTAGGTTGTCTTGACTGTAACAAAACTGGAAGCATTTTGACTGAAATACACCAATCAGCCACAACAAACTTCTGACAGGTAACGTGAATAACATTTGTTGCTGATAACGAATGGCTCCAGAACATATGGAAGAGCTCCTGGTGTTCACCTGGCCTCCTCGTACCCCAGATCCAAATCCGATTTGTCTTCAGTGGGATGAACCAAAAAAATTAAAAAGCCAAATCACAGAGGGTCAAAAGTACCCAAAATATCCACTTCTAATGTTCCACTGTCATTTTAAACAGGACACCAGCAGAGGTCCAGTTACCTGATGGGCCAGAGTGGTTTTGGAAGCTTACGTAATATCGCCCAGAAGCCAGACAGATGTCAAAATCAACTCCATAATTCATCCTCCCATTAAATATACTGTGACCTAAAACTGTTATCTCTGTGGTAATTTTCTAGTGTCAAAAAGGATCCAGATATTACCCATTTTATTACCTGACACAGTCGATCCAAATCACTCTGCGTTATACACGCTGTCTTTTGTAAAGGTGCACCAGTGACAACATCCAAGACAAACCTAACATAAAATATGAGACTGGAATAATCCAGCTTGATTCTTTTCAACTACAAAAATTTGAGAGACTCGCTCTTTGCTGGGATGAAATAAATGCTTATGGTGAATCCGTTTAACAAAGAGGAGTAGACAGTGCTGCTATGAAACAACCTTTAAAAATACCGGTAGTGTTTTACTGCCATTGACCACTGATGTTCCACAGCGGTTTAGGATGTGTTTAAAAAAAA